GGGAGTTGTTGTTTTTATCAGAGACTCTCCCAAACCATGAGACCAATGAAAACGTTCAAACTGACTCCCTAAACGTTTTATAAAACAGTGTCATCATGGTTCTATCTACATGGTAAAAGGACAACTTCCTCAGACAGTGAAGGCGCTGGTGCCTCTTTTACACACACAGCACAATTATCATCAAAGATCAGTTTTGAATCAATGAGTGTTTGTGTATCTTTTATAAAAGTAACAAGTTTGCTGTCCATAAATTGCCTTTTTTAATTTTTTAATCCAAACTGTCATCCAGGTTTTAGGACATATTAACCTGCTAGCTGCCTCATTTCACAAGGGAGTGAACATGGGTGCATTTCCAGCTCCATCGACTCTGGATCCTGTCTCCATAACTGCTGCTTTCAGACCCGAAGGAACACCAAAAGGAATGCGAAAAGGAAACATCAGGAGGACTCACCAGAACACAAAAAGATAAAGCAGAACAGGAAAACCTAAAATCCACCATATCAGAGCACTGTAAAAGAAACAACCACATTATGGATTGGGACGGGGCTCGGGTCATTGGATCAGAAAACAACAAGTTCAAACGATGGATCAAGGAGGCCATTGAAATCAGGAAACGAGGCACGAACAGGATTAACCCGTGATAACAGCGCGTTCCTCCTTTCACACACCTGGGACACCAGAGAATATCGGGTGACGGGAGGCGTGGTCAGTCTGAGCGACCTGCCAGGTCCACCAGGCTGACCACGCCCACAAGAAGTAACAACAGCTGATATACGACACGTCACCAGATAGACTGTGATAGACTTAAACTATTTCTGTATTTTATAAAATGTTTTTTATGTAAATATCTAAACTGTTGTTTCTTGTTGTAGAATGGGCTGAACTCACTGGGTGACCTCACTTTGGGACCTCCCATTCATTGAGTGGGTATATGGGCACCTGGGCTGGCAACCATATTGTGTGCTGTCTTCCAAGACAAGAAGAATATCTGATGAAGACTTTTTTTGCTGAAACGTTATTTTGTTAATAAAAAAGCTTTTGGACATCGGCCTACTGAGTGTGCTATGCATTTTTTCACCCTTGTCTGGCTGCTCCTTGCATTTGTACCTCTACAAGAATTTTGGTGTGTGTTTTCTGTTTCTTTTGATACGACACGTCACCACCAACACCGGGGACAGTTCTGAAGGTGGCTTGCAGCAGCAGTCAAAACATGTCAACAAGATAAATATACTTTACTGTATTGTCTTTAAAAAGAACCTAAGAAGTTAATGCTGCTGTCAGACTTCTCACTGTGGTCTTAAAATCTTCTGTAAACCCGTAAATCAATTCCTATTCTTAATATGGAACTTGGCTTCAAACTTGCTCCTTCAACTGCCACCCTCGGTGAGCTTCATTTGACTGGAGCAGAACACTGTGGGTGATGTCACATTCACTTCTTTATACAGTCTATAGCAAAGGTGTCAAGCATAAGGCCCGGGGGCTGAATCCGGCCCTCCAAGACCTTTAATCTGGCCCTCTGCTGATTTTCTACTAAAATATTTTGAATTATATTTTCTATTAAAATATTGTTAATTTTCTGTGGTGTTTATCACAGCAGCGTCTCCAGCGTCTCTGTACGTGGCCCCTCCCACCAGAGCAGCACAAATGAAGACTTGTCTCTTTCCAAACGCTCTTAAAGGACGATCGTTTTGACTGTTGACCGTGACACCTTCATCAGCAAAATGTCCAACATGAGAAAAGTGGAGCCGAGTGCAGGATTTTCCAATAAAAATTGATTTATTCCTATTTGCATACAAGTTCATGTTAAAACATTGTGTTTTAACATGAACTTGTGTTGTGTGTTAAAGTCTCAGGTTGTTCATAATATTATAATATTTTGTAAAAGGAAGAGTTCATCAATTAAAAAAGATTTCTGTAGTAGATTTGTGTTTCTCTGCACAAATATTTGAACTTATTGTTATTTTTGGGGTTTATATGCCATGAGTTTTCTGATCCGGCCCCTTTGGGATCAAAGTCGTTTGGATACGACCCCCGAACCAAAATGAGTTTGACACCCCTGGTCTATAGCTTTGATTAATTCATGGTTTGTTTTTGCAACTGATAAACAATGATGAATCTGCCATAAACTTTTAATAAGAGCAGATTCTCCACTGGACTCCCACAGCCTGATGAAAAAAACACAAACGTTGATATAAATGTGCTGTGAAATGTACTTTATTAAATATACTCAGTTTAAGAGGTACTAAACACATCTTTATGTTCTTGTTATAACTAAAGGCCAACATCCTGATTCACTGATGCCATTTTCTGCTGAGTGGTTTTCTCTAATTCCTTCTTCACTTCCCAGAGCCTCTGTCCATTCATGAAGTCTCCTGTTATGTCCTGACCCTGTGTATAAACTCATAATCCTCCTAGTGACTTTGCTTTTGAGTTGCACAATATTGTGAAGTCATCGTTACTTAAAGCTGTAACATTTCTAGTGGAGGGTCTGCCACCTTTTTGTCTCCTTGGAGATGTTATCGCTTTGTCTAGAATGTTCCACAGTACAAACTAAACCAAAGGAGACGAGCAGGTTTCAGCAGTGCACTACATTACAGCTCAGATCTGTGGAGAGTCGCCCCTGTTCAAGGAATTATTACAATTTTAAGCAATAGAAACACACTTAATGAATAAATGAGCAGTGTTGGGAAGGTTACTTTTAAAATGTATTCCCCTACAGATTACAGATTACAGATTACATACCCCAAAATGTAGTTTGTAACATAATCCATTAAATTACTTAAAGTGAGTAACGTAATCTGAATACTTTGGATTACTTGATTTTCTGTAGAGAAGCAAAAACTCGGAAATCTTCACATAAGAAGTTTTGTCTGATAAAAGAAAATAAAAAAAACAGACTTTACTTAACCGTATTAAAAATATTATTGATAGAAGAGGAGGAGACACGATCCATGCAGCATGGTTTAGTCCTGTTAAATCCTGGTTTAGACCTGGTTGAGACCTGGTTTAGATCTAGTTTAGACCTGGTTTTAGCCCCAGTTTAGATCTAGTTTAGGCCTGGTTTAGTCCTGGTTTTAGTCCTGGTTTAGACCTGGTTTTAGCCCTGATTTAGACCTGGTTTTAGTCCTGGTTTAGTCCTTATTTAGACCTGGTTTAGTCCTGGTTTAGACCTGGTTTAGTCCTGGTTTAGACCTGGTTTTAGTCCTGGTTTAGACCTGGTTTTTGTCCTGGTTTATTCTTGGTTTAGTCCTGGTTTATATCTAGTTTAGACCTTGTTTTAGTCCTGGTTTAGACTTGGTTTAGTCCTGGTTTTAGACCTGGTTTAGATCTGGTTTAGAATATGAGTGGAATTACCGAGAAAAAAAAAAAAGATATAGCCCAAAATGTGAAAACGAGAACATACCACCGTGTAATCCATTTATTTCAACAAAGTAACAGTAATCCAATTACTCATGGAAACAGTAACTGTAACCGAATACAGTTACTCATAATTTGTACTCTGATTACGTAACTCCGGTACATATAATCTGTTACTCCCCAACACTGTTAATGAGAGATAGATATATTTATACCACGGAACATTCCAGGCAAAACAATGGAGACACACAAGGTAACGGACCTTCCTCCAGAAAAGTTGTGCATAATATATCTCTATATACAAAATATATGATGATAATGCTAAGGTTTAACATGTGATTGATTGCATTTTGTATCTTAATCAAACATTTTTAAGTTCATTTGTGAACATAGAGTTGACAATAATGGCATTTAGCAGAGCCACAAAACACACACACACAAATCAGATGTATTCCTGTGAAATGTGAACCCTCCAAACCACATACTTTTACTGCCCCAGGTCTGTCATTACACTGTGTTTTTCTTTAATAGAAAAGACTACGGTGGCTCCCATAGTCTAAAAAGAGAATGGACTTAATAATGACATAACAGAATCTCACTTTTTTGCTCCTTGTATTGTCATTCACAGAAAAAATAACTAAACTGTTCAAAAAGACATTTAAACTCTACAAATTGCATCACAAAAAATTATGAATATAGAACGTTTCTGCACCACTGGAGTCTGAACAAAATCTGTGGGAAACAGTGAGTATGGAATTTAAACTATTTGATCACAACTCAATGAAAATCCATGACAATATAATATTTGTATTATATCTATAATGTATGTATCATTGTATGTTCCTTTATTGTGTCAAAACGTGTAGTATCATATTCATGGCGTTTCAGATTCCTGGGCAACATTTACACTTTTTACCATTCAAAATATTAAATATTTAGTTTTAATTTGTCAATTGTTATGGCAGCAGTCTTAATTTTCCATCTGAAATCTATGTCAGACTAGAGGTGTGCAAAAATATTGAACTATTGATAGATCAATATGAAAAAAAGTTTGGGAAACACTGGGCTATAGAGACATTATTTGTTTAAAATGTTGTTATTATTTTATATCCTGTTTATTCTGGATTAAAAGTTTAAGCAAAACTATTATTAAACATTTATTTTAATAAGAAAAGGTTCAACATTACATAACTCATAAAAAGAGCAAACATGCAGAACTTGTCAATAAATATTTTAGTTTGTCCCATGACTTAGTCCCAGTTTTTAATTTAGGCCTCTGTGAATTTGAGTTTGACCATAGACTGTATATATTGTTAGTACAGTGTGTGAGGATGAGTGAGGAGGATGAGTGTGGAGCTGCAGGATCAGGGTTAGAGGCAGATTATCCACATGGTCCAGTATAAAGCTGCTCTGTAATCCCTGTACACAGTCACTCACAAACAGGACAGACCCCACACTCTCCTGCTACACACACCAGCGAACTGCACTTACAACTGCTCACATTCTTTCCTGGAATTTATGTTCAACTTCACAAAAAGTATTGAGAATTTACAATATTGATCAACGTTTATTTAAAATTTTCAACTTGAAGTCTTGAATTTTGCATGAGCTCCGAGAAGCAGCCGGGATCCAGAGGAGGAAACATGAAGAAAGGAAAGGTAACTGTGAAACTTTCCTCACAATTCTATTATCTTATCTTTTGGTCATTCCTGGACTCTGTGTATGGAGAAGGAGGTTTACAAATGGTTTACAAAGTTTTATATATTTAAAAAAAAAAGTTTGGATTTAGGACGAAATGAGTAGTTAATCATTTGAAATATTAGATCATTTAATTTAATGGAAAGGAGTCTTATTATTTAGTTATATATATATATATATATATATATATATATATATATATATATATATATATATATATATATATATATATATATATATAATATATACAATACACAAGATATATATATATATATATATCTTTGTTGTTATTGTCACAAAACTAAAAAATCAATCTGTACTAAGGAATTCACTCAATACTCTATACAGTTTGTGATACATGAAGATAAAAAAAGCTTATTTTTTCTAAACGAATGTCATTTTCATACACAAAATGTAGTAATAGTACTTTGTTTATGTTCTCACAAGATGTGATATAAAGTTCTGCTAAAGCTCAAAAGGCATTAAATGTTCAGGAAAGCTCAAACTTTGTCCTGTTAGTGTGAGTATCAATACCTGCTCAAATGAGTATCGGGTTTTGATATTAGTTTTAGTATCGACTGGTATCTGATTTTCGATACTTTTGACTGTCCTTGTTGTTATGTTGTGTTCGGCGTGTCTCCTAGCATCCATCTTAACTCTAATCAAACATGGAGACTGACTTTAAATCCTTTACAAAAATAGAACAAGAAGAACTGTGTGAAGTGAATTCATGTGAAACAGTTTTGCAAAAGGGTAAAATGATTTAGTTCCAATGATTTAATCATTAGAGATGTGTTTAAAAGGCAAAATGATTTCCTTCCCAGGAGGAACATAAACTACTTAACACTTGCATACAACTTCAAAATGATGACTAAATGTGGAAATGCAACCAAGACTACACCTACACCAGGGGTGGGCAATTCTTTCTTTCATGAGGCCACTTAAGAAACAGAAAATACTGTGGAGGGCTGCATGATATGAATTATATTTCTTTATAAAAAAAAATAAAAATGAAAAAAAAGCATTAAATAGTATAGTTTTGACGAGCTGCTCAGACTGGTGAGAGTTTATGTTCTGACTAGCAAATGAAAAAGTGAGGCTGCCTTACAAAAAATGCCATTTAAAAAAACAAATAAAAGCAATGCCACTTTAGTCCATGCATGAGGTCAAATTATAAAATATGTTACATTACATTTTGTAATTTCAAATTGTCTTATCTATCAGAGTCAACCAAAGGGCCGTATGTGGATCTGGAGCTGGACGAGGCCCAGGTCTGACCTAGACTAAACTAGACTAAACCAGATCTAGAACTAAACCAAGTCTACATCAGGTCTAAAGCAGGACTAAATTACAGCGTATAACTTTATTAGCTAATATTATATTTGTGGTGTGTTTGTGGTCGTACTAACCGCTCCAGTCTCTCAGCAGGTCACAGACGACAATGAGCCCCCCACGTATCAGGAGGCCACAGCAGGTAACTGCATCTGTCTGTCTGTCAGGGAGAGTTGGATTCTGTCATGTTCAGTCTGTTTCACATCCTTGTTTGTGTTATATTTTGCAGGTTACCCTGACATGGAGGCTCAGTTTGCGTGGGATGATAAAGTGATTCGACAGACGTTCATCAGGAAGGTAAACAAATACACACTCAGTTTATGAAATGTTTTTACACATTTAATGCACAACATGTCCACTCAGGCAACCAGGAGAAGATACAGAAATACAGTCCTATTGTTATAATTGCATATATAATGGAGTATGAGGCCCTTATTCCCTTTATTTGATTGCAATTTTTTATTAATGATAATACATTTTTTAAATGTATTTATGCATTTATTTTGGTGAGAATATGTAAATATGAATTGTTAAATATGGAGTAAGTAAGCTTTCAGAAAAATCCGTGCATATTTGGGAAATTCGTACATATTTCGCTGTAGTTGAGCATAAAATAAAAATTTTAAACTATTTTTAAACTCTCAAATGAGTCAAGTCGTACATAAAATGTGTTGTGTGTATTTTATCCATCAGAATACGAACTGAAAAGTTACGACATCAAGAATTACAATCACGAAATGAAAATTCACAATTAGACTTTCTTCAGTACAAGTACGAACAAGACTCGACTGTAAAAATACATCAACACTTCACAGGCATTATTTAATGAGCAGAAGAAACATCAAGGATTAAACCAGGACTGAACCAGGACTGATCCCAGGACTAAACCAGAATTGAACTCGGACTAAAACAGGACTAAACCAGGAATAAACCAGGACCAATCTTGGACTTGAGAGGGTCCTTTTGCCTGTGGTCACCCGACAATCTACGAGGGCGCACCTCCCGGCCCATCCCAACACTCAGTCCTGGTTCAGTTCTGGTTTAGTCCTAGTTCAGTCCTGGTTTAGTCCTGGTTCAGTCTGTACGGGGCACAAAAGTCCGTCGTCTCGATCGATGCTTCTTCTGCTCAATATGGACTCTCAGATGGATAAAATACACACAACATTTTTTATGTACGACTGGACTCATTTGAGAGTTTACGAATATTTATTTTATGCTCAACTACAGCCAAATATGCACAGATTTCTATCCTATGCACATGAATATTTCTGAAAGCTTTCTTACTCCATATTTAAAGGGTTAGCAGGTCGTTGTGAATGCGTAAGCGAGGAGTTGGAAAGTTGAGACACAGTTTCAGTTGAGATCTCTGGATGTGTTAATGACATATGTTTGTGTTTCAGGTGTACGCCATCCTGCTCACACAGTTACTCATGACCGTGGGGATTGTGTGTCTCTTCACATTCTGGTCAGGTTTTTCTCTATAACTCCTTCCTTATTTCCTTCTGTACACTGGATTGTGTTTGCTCTAACATCATATTGTGTCCTTCCAACAGTGAGCCAGTGCGGTTCTACATCCAGACTCACCCAGGCCTCTACTCTGCGTCTTAGTGAGTACAGTTTCTTCATAATGAAGAATAATGCAGTAGTCTAGTATACTGATTTTCCAGACGCTCAAAAGATGAATGAGATGAAATATGATACCGTATTTTTCGGACTATAAGTCACTCCGGAGTATAAGTTACACCAGCCAAAAAATGTGTAACACAGAAGAAAAAAAAACAAACCAAAAGTTTACAAGTTGCTCTTTTTGGGGGAAATGTATTTTATAAAATCAGAGACCAGGAGCTGACATTTCCAAGACACACCCACATTGCCTAGTATGAAAGTGGTGTGTGCGTGAGTGATGGTGGTGGTTGGAGGGGCCGATGGTGCCGATTGGCATGGCAGCTGCGCTTCTGTCAGTCTGCCCCAGGACAGCTGTGGCTACAATAGCAGCTTACCACCATCTGGTGTGGAGAGAAAAGAATAATGAATCTATAAAAAATGCTCTGTGACATATGTCTGTGAAATGCACTATATAAATAAAGACTTACTAACAACAGAAGAGACAACAACAGACTGTTAACATCACATATGAACAGTTCTTTAGATAAACTATAACATAAACAACAGAACAAGTTTAACAAACTCTCCATCTCACTTCAAATCACTAAATCCATTCAATTCTTCACCCTCGGTGTCACTTCTGAGCAACTTGGCGACCTCTGGAGGTAAATGTGTAGCTGTCGTCAGACTCAGCATCAGTTCCAGTTAGAATTATTCTGGTCTTTCTGAATCCCGACAGGATGATTTCAGTGTCACTGAAGTCCAGGCTTTGTCCATCCATCCAGTGACTTCAGGAAAGTTTCATGGTGCATCCTCCCAGTGCCACAAGTTTCTCTCTCACTCCAAACTTTCTTTCTGCTGCTCGATTATCATTTTCAGTTGCAGATTTTGCTACTTGCAGTTTGTAATCTGCAAAATATGATTTTCTTTTTGGGGGCATTTGTGTTCAGTCTTCTCAGTCGTTTTTATAAGTTTGTTTAAAAGTTAGATTGTTCAGTGATGCAGAAGTAATGATGTGATCGACTGACATGATACAGACAGGACAGAGGCTCTTTCTGCAGGAGACATGAGCAGTAGAGTGAAGTGACAGTGGTACAGGAGGAACAGGAGCAGCAGATACTCACACACAAGACTAGAGCCTTTTGAGACAGTCAGTGTAAAAATTTTAATATATAAGTCGCCCCGGAGACGCAGGAAACACCCAAACCATAAAAAAAGTGCAACTTATAGTTTGGAAAATATGGTACTTTATTTTTCTTACTGTACTAAAATAACATTTGTGTATAACTGAGACTTTCCTTGTGTCACAGCCTCATGTTCTTTGCCACATACATCGCGCTGTCCTGCTGTGGAGATCTGAGGTACTCTTCTTTTTTGATTCACTTTAAATAATGTTGGTTTATTTAAAATCGTAACAGTTTCTCATTCTTTATATTACTTCTTTCACAGGCGACAGTTTCCATGGAACGTCATCCTGTTGGTTCTTTTTGTACGTTTTCATTTTGTCTGAGTTTTAAACAGTCTTTAAATGCTCTTTCCTCACCTGTTTTCTGTTTTGTTCATACAGACTCTGAGCATGGCGTTCATGATGGGCTTCATGTCAAGGTAATGAAAGACATTTTATTGTTGATTAAGATGCAAATGAGCAAATACATAATTGTGAGATAATTAAGAAGTAAATGGCGACTTGCTCAAACTATGATGAAACTGAGCAAAGTGGAACCCAAATCATTTCAGTGGGTAAAATTAATTTGAAATGGTTTACTGGACCAAAAATAAAAAAAAAACTTGCTCCTAATGTTGGCGCTCATATATTTTATTTTCATCTTCTGTCTTTCAGTCAGTCAGTGTGGCCTTTTCATATTCTAGGATTATTATTGTTACGGTGAAGTGAGTTCTCAAAATGTCAGTGTTTAAATTGTACTAAAGTTTGGTTTGTTTTTTTTCCTCTCCTCCAGTTTCTACAACACAAAGTCAGTGCTGTTGTGTTTGGGGATCACGGCCATGGTCTGCTTCTGTGTCACGATCTTCAGCTTCCAGTCCAGGGTCAGTCTACATCACAGACCATTTATATACATGGACATAGCTAATGCACTAGTTGCCACGTTCTAAACAGGAAGTGCGTCAGGAGGCTCTTCTGGCTCCTTCTGGCTTCCGTTGACTTACACTGGAATATTGTCGCCCTCTCTCTGTTTGTACTAATTTGCTCTACACCATCCTGAATTTTTTATTTTGCCATTTTGTCCCTAAATCAAGATATGAACATAAATAATTACCAGTTAGACGCCTTCATTCCCTGAGGTTGCATCCTCTAGCGTTAGCAACAGGCTTGATTCACAGTTAATGTGTTTCGTTGATAAGCCAAGCCCCGGGATCTAAAAGTGGCCGCCCATCCAAGTCAATGGGCCGAGCTCAACGGCGTATGCCTCCATACGTCGCCCGGCGAGGTACTTCCGATGGCCCGGTGGTGCCCATTGAACATGTGCAGTAGTGCTCTTTTCTCCTGTGGGCACACGCCAGTGCACGAGCGCACACCTCCGTGAAGTTGACCCCATCAAATGCACACCTACACAAAAACTATGTCTGTCATTTGTGCTTTGTTTGTGCTGTTTTGTGCTGCAAAAAGTTTTGTTTGTGTGACTATGGTTCTTAAGATATTAACAGTTTTATTTTCGGCTGAAAGGCAGAAAGGCATAGGCAGGAAATTATACGAAACGTTTGTATTTTGTGCTGTTTTGTGCTGTGACAATTTTCATTTGTGCGAGTATATTTCTAAAATTATCATTATTTTTGTGGAAATTGTATGATGTAATTTCCGCTCAGCTGATGGCAGCGGCTTTAGTAAAACTCTGCAAAAGTAAAGGTAAATGATCACAGGCTGTGGCAAAGTCTGTATTATTATATAAAATATTAATCAAAAGCAAGTTACTAAAGATACATAACTTTCCACAGCAGTATTAATCATTTTAAGGAGCTGGAAGACACCATCAGCCAAAAATAAAACTGTTCATATCAATAATATAACGATAAACATAGTTTTTGTGGAGGTGTGCCTTTGATGGGGGGCCAACTTCACAGAGGTCAAGAGCACATGCATGAAGCGTGGCCTCGTGTATCACATGATCGCTTTGACCAATCACAGTGAGAGGAGCAAGAGCAGAGTGGAGCTAACGATTAAAAAGCTCTTTTTAAGACAACTGAAGGGTTTTGAGCTGCAAAAAACAGGTAATAATCGCCAAAAAATCTGAGGTTTTTGAAAAGAGTAGGTCCCTGTCAGCCGAACACGGGCAGTTTGTGATTACATTGTGCTCTATGAGAAAAATCCTTTCTGGGTCGAGGGGATTTTTTTGCTGTAGTACCAGTGAGTGTCACTACATCAACTGTACCAAACATATTCTTGGTACATGTATTCAGTGACTTCCCAAAACTGTCTATATCACAATTTGAAGTAGTTTACCTTTTCAGACCTCCACTGGTCGACTTTTTCTGACAGTAGGACACAGTTTCAGAGATATGACCACAAACCCCAGGACTTTAGACTTTTAGAAATTATTCCAGTCCAGGCGTACGGTGGAGCGCTGGACCAGCGTGACCGAAAGGCTCATGAGATCATTTTAAAATGCTCAATATATGACACTGTACTCTATTACTATGCTATAATAATTATTAGGGATGCACCAATCTGATACTGGTATCTGTGCCGATACTGAAAATTTTGCTATATCGACTATATCGATTCAACTGATGCTGGACGCCTGTTGGATAACATTGATGTAGTAAGACTATTTACCAGAAAGACTCGCAATGTTTGAACTTTTATTTATACAAAACTGTCCTGTAGTTATTTGAGGAATAAATAGCAGCTACATAACGCATTTAAATCATTATTTTCTTATTTTATTTTAGTTTTAAAGAAGGTTATATCGGGCATTGACAGAGACTTAAAGCTGTATTATGGGGATCGGTAAAAGCTGGATCAGTGCACCCCTAAAAATGACAATAAAAACAGGTGACACAGTGTTCACATGTGCTTTAGATAACACTAACTCTCTGTCTCTTTCTTCTTGTTCCAGGTTGATGTGACCTCTTGTCAGGGCGTGCTGTTTTCTCTGTGTATGGTGATGCTGCTCTGTGCCATCACCATCTCCATCGTCGTCCCATTCGGATTTGTAAGTCCAGACCTTAAACCAGGACTGGGATACGTAAGAACCAGGACTGGGAGGGTTTAAAAGAGCACTGTGGAACTTTTCAGACAGCCTCTTTGCCACCATAGAGATGTTATTCCATATCTCATGGGATTCCCAGTATGGCGTAACATAGGTGACATTCAGACTGCAGCCTGAAGTGACGCAAATCAAATTTTTTCGTCCCAATGCTCCTGTATTTGATCTTTTAATGACAGTCTGAATGAAAACAGATTCATTTTTTTCAAATGCGACCCAGGCCACTTGGATATGTGCTCCTAAAACCGATACATATCCGATCTTTTGACACGCGACTTCAGTCTGAACGGCCAAATCACATTCATCCACCTACAAGTGAGGGTCGGAGTCTCGTCAGTGGAGGGAAAGCGAGGTTAGTGAATTTATTCATATTTGGGGGAATCTCTGTATTCAGGCCAAGTTGGAGGCGTCTTATCAGAACCAGGTGGTTTTTAAAACAACTGCCAAAGACATGTCCAAGTGTGGCTACAGACGGTCCTGGCTCCAATGTCAACGAAAAATAAAGAGCCTGCGAGACAAATACAAGGAGGATAAAGACTCAAACAAACAAAGTGGCCGTGGACGTCTAACCTGTCCATTTTACCAACAACTGGACCGTATTTTGGGAGACAAGCCCAGTTTTTAAAGCCAGGCTGGTACCATCTAGAGCCTCCGCTCAATTTCATTTCTCTCCAGCAACTAGGTCAGGAATCAGAATACACTAGACGGTTCGCAAACACCCCAGAAGTGCAAGTTTGGGCACCAGCCAATCAGCGAAGAGCCATATATTCAGTGGTGTCAATGATTCCCAAGCTCGAGGATTTAAATCCGGAATAAAGAGAATGTTTGGTGAATTTTTATCAAGGGGAAAGACGTTATTATCCTTCTTCGTACGGGATTTGGGAAAAGCTTAATATACTAGTTAGCCTAGTTAGCGGCGCATTACATACATCATGACAAAATAGCAACGATTGGTTAAATAAAAAAGTACCCATCTACCGTCAAGCGAACGAATTCTAACACTGCGAGGCCAGAGGGTTTCTGCGAAGTGAAACCGGCTGATGAATCAGGTTACGGCGGTTATGCTTCTTCCGTACTTTCGTGTCCTCCAATGTGCATGCGGGAAACTTTTGGGGCATTTAAAGTTCACACTGGAGATCACACACAAGTCGCATTTACTTGGAAATGTGAACGACCTCGCAAAAAAAATCACATTAACCCAGTGCTTCTCAATTATTTTCTGTCATGCCCCCCCAGGACGAATAAAACATCTCGCCCCCCCCCCCCGCGTGACTATAGATAGTATCATTTGTCTATAAAATTGTTATAAGTACACCTGTGCGTAACACTGCCACCTTATATGACACCAACAACGCTCGCTGGTTTACTGAAGTAGCAGTCACAAAGCGGGATGATTGTCGGCAATATTCGGCACGTTTTCGCTGAAAAAACTCAAGCGTTTTATCAGAGTGATTGGGGTGTAATGTATTTAAGTGACGCCTTAATTTATTGGGCTTCATGCTGTCCGCTGCCAACATTTTTAGACACAGTAACACACCGGTCTTTCCTCGTCTCCCACCGTAGTCACAGTGAAGCCAAGCGCTACATACGCTTCGTCATATTTCCTCGTCTTAGCTTTCGGGAGATTTTCGTTTGTCTCTTTATCTCCGTCTCTCTCCGCCTGTCTTCTCATCCCTGTTAAATATTTTTTCATGGTGTCACATGAGGGTCTGCTACACTTCATACTCAAACTCTGTGCTGTGTGCAAAGCGCGCATGCTCAGTGCAAACAAAACTCCTACACCACCGAGCGAATGCTCCCTGCGCACACTCTGCCAATGAGAGCGCCACTGCCCCCTAATGTAGTGGAAGTGCAATTGCACTTTATTCTAAAGGCCCGTTCAGACCAAAGCGTCAAAGCGTCCACTTTCTATGTAAAGTCTATGTGGACGCGCGACTAGAGCGTCCTGCGTTTTTGCGGCGCGTTTTCGGCGTCAGCGCGGCGCGAATCTGGCGCCAGCGCAGCGCGTCTTCAGCGTTTTGGCGTCAGCGGCCAAGACGCGCGTCCAAGGCGTCAGCGTCAAGAAGTTGAAAATGCTGAACTTTTCGCGTCAGACGCGCCGCGTCAACCAATCAGAGACGAGTATCCAGAGACGCAGCGACGTTATTATCAGGAAGAAAGACCCGAGAACCAGAACGAGAACCACAAACATGAACGGAGAATAAATATATACGCCACAATCACCGAGCCGATCGCGAGGACTACACCAGGACCAAACCAGGACTAGACCGAGACTAAACAAGGACTAGACCGAGACTAGACCAAGACTAGACCGAGACTAAACAAGGACTAGACCGGGACTAGACCGTGATTAGACCAGGACTAGACCGGGACTAGACCGTGATTAGACCAGGACCAGACCGGTATTAGACCAGGACTAGACCGGGACTGATCCAGTGTCATTAGCGGAGTAGAAATATATAAACGCCCAAGTCGTCGACCCGATCTCCTCCTTTGATGTTTTATGTCATAAAAACACTCTCTCAGTCTGGTCTGACATTGTTTCGGGAAAAGAGCGGGACCGGGCTCTTGTTTCCAGGGCAACGGACGCGCGTCAAGTATTTTTGTCCCGTTCGTCCACGGCGTCAAAGATGCGCGTCGGGGGCGTCTAAACTCAAATGCAAAGGCTCCAAATAGAGGCGACAAGGCGTTTTTTGACGCTTTGGTGTGAACGGCCCTTAAGACAGTAAAAAAAAAAATCTAAATAAAAAAATAAAAAAGCATGCTCCCCGAGGTCAAACGCGCCCCCCTTGACGGAGCCTCGCGCCCCCCCCAGGAGAAGCACTGCATTAACCCCATGCAGTCTGAACGTAGCCAGATTCATCATTGACTTTTACATTTACTGCTGGTGATTAAGTGCACAAAAATGCCCTGTGAACTGGATCGCCTCTCCACAGATCTGGCCTACACCTTGGTCGGCTTTTCTACATGGAGATTGCAAAGTTTAATACCATCATGTGTAATATTTTGAGTAAAGCGTTAATATCTCCATGGAGACAAACAGTCACGTAGCACATCTTTAAGTTCAGACGGTGAGGACTGAGAGAGTTCTAGAAGGTTTAAAATAGCAGAGATTATGAGCAGGTGTCTGAATGAAGCTGTGTACTGGAAGAGGGAGAGTTAATAGGATGGAGCAGTGTAAGCCTGTGCTCTGTGTGTCACTCTTAAATTAGCCTCTTCTGGTTTTGTAATGGTGTTTTTTTGCCCCGCAGATCCCTTGGTTACATGCCACTTATGCCGTTTTAGGAGCCATTTTGTTCACTCTGGTAAGATGTTTTCAATTTTGGTAAAAATATGTTCTTTATTTTTTATTTTATGAGAAATATCGTAAAGAAAATTACACAAATGTTGAAGGCTGTAACCTCATACATCATATTAAAATTAGAACTAAACTGGACTAGACTAGGACGAAACCAGAACCTCTTAAAGCGACAGTCAGGAATTTTGGACATAGGACCTAATTTCCTAGTGAGCCAGAGTGTTGGAGACGTGTGGAGACACTTTTTAAAATATTCCATCCAGTCCTTGTATTTACAGAGGTCGCTGGTGTTAGACTAGTGCATGTCAATGGTCATAGTTCTCCTGCCACTAAAAACAGTCTTACCCACTTCAAAAAACACCTGAAACAAAACTATTATTACACCAGACTGTCCATGTGAGTGTCTGTGTTGATAGAATAATGTTTGAAATAAAACTAATCTTGCATCGCATGAATCTTCGCATGTTGAGGGACTATCATTTCATGTATCAGTCCGCCGCTGCCGAGCTTTCTATCAGGAAGTACAACTGAGGTGGGGAAAAGTCATTGTTTTGCAAGTTTCAAGTAAGTTTCAGTCTTTGTCTCAAGTCAAATACAGGCAAGTCCAAGTCGAGTCTTGAAACACTGGCCCATAAGTCCAAATCAAGTCCAAGTCGTCTGCTTTGAGCTTTAATTCATTTCAAGTCTTTAAACCAAAGTAACTTAGATTTTTGCAATTTATATGAATATTAAGATAAATTGCACTTAAAACGTTATAGTATATTAATTTCCCTTTTTAAATGTCTTGACAAGATCTTAGTGTGAATCATTACAGTCAGAATAGAAAGAATTCAGATTTAAACATCTTTTCAAGTCTTCTCAAATAACCTCAAGTCCCAAGTCATTGACCTTCAAGTCCAAGTCGAGTCCCAAGTCTTTGCCCATTTTATCAAGTCAAGTCTCAAGTCCTAAAAATAGTGACTCAAGTCTGACTCAAGTCCAAGTCACAACTCACAAGTCCCAACCTCTGCACTTTGCAACTGCTGCTCAGACATAAATCCTTCAAATGCAAGGTTGGTTTTACTTCTAAAATGATTCTGTCAACACAGACATTCACATTGACAGTCTGGTGTAATAATAGATTTTCTTCAAGTGTTTTGTGGAGTGGGTAAGACTGTTTTTAGCGGCAGGATAACTATGGCCATTGACATGCACTAGCCTAGCACCAGTGACCTCTGCAAATACAAGGACTGGATGGAATATTTCGAAAAGTGTCTCCACACGTCTCCAACACTCTGATTCACTAGGAAATGAGGCCCTATGTTCAAAATTCCGGACTGTCCCTTTAATCATGGTATATTTTCATTACATTCGTCATAGTTTTAGAGTGATTGGGCAAAAAAGTTGTTCTTTTTCTTGTATTTTTCCTTTTTTTATTTGTATTTACCATACCAACAAAAACAGACATGGAGTTGCGTTTTGTTTCATTCACACATGTTTGAGTAACACTTTAGTATTAGTCTGTTTACCAAAAGCTCAAAATGCTCTGTTCCACCTTGTGATGTCATAAGGTGGTAGTTTTCAAGTTAACAGCTACATTTGACGTTTAGTTCAGCAGAGATCGGCAATTCCAGAGCTGAAATGATCCAGATGATTCTCGTGAAGGTGTATGAAGTTTGAAAACACAGTGGAGCACTTCATTTAACATCTTCTTTTCCTTCTTAGTTCTTGGCGTTTGACACTCAGATGTTATTGGGAAACAAGCGCTACGCCATCAGCCCAGAGGAGTACATCTTCGCCACCCTGAGCATCTACCTGGACATCATCTACCTCTTCAGCTTCATGCTCAGCATCTTCGGAGGAGGACGGGACTGAGGGCTCGGATTTTCTTACAGGACAATGAATGCACCAGGGTGAATTGGTCATATTTCAACAAAAACCACACACACTTTTTGCTGATATTGCTAATTAATCTTGCCAGAAAATAATCTTGGATGCCCTACCTGACTCAACTACTATTTGGACTGTGAATTGAACTGGTTGTTGTATTTCATGATAAGAATATGTTTTTTCTATCAGTTAGGACCAATTTTTCTATTTTGTTTCCATGCTGTTAAAAATAATTAGTAATTGTCCATATACAGTACATTAAAGGTGCACTGTGTAACTTTTCCAGTGCTTGTCACCATGGAGATGTTATTACGGTGCCTGGAACTGTCCATAATATAACATTACATTTCTAGAAATATATCATATCTAGAAAAGGTGTTTTATTTCCAAAAAAGTACATTGAAAAGTATACATTGTCATTCCAAGCGGGGTCACCTCTCCACAGATCTGACCTGTAGCTTGGCTTTAGTAGCATGCCTATTTTTCTTCATGGAGATAGACATATTTAATGCAATACTTTTGGGCATTCTAAGCAATTTATAACATGTCCATGGAAACAATCAGCTTGCGGATCTACACCAGAAAATGCGTATACAATCTCTCAGTCATCCAGGTAGAATCCATTGCAATGCAGAAATTCAATTTGTCAACTGGACAAACATTTCGAGGTAGAAATTCACACATCTCATTTCACATCTCATCCAAGCTGTTTCTTCAGTTCTGGTCAGATACTGCTGGACACTGCCGTATGTCTGCCTGCGGGGAGGAGCTAACTACACTGAAACTACTCTGAAACTAAGGCTACGTTTACAAAGAACCTTCATTTTCCAAAATAACATTGTGCACATAACATCATTTTCAAAAAAGTTTTTGTTTATGCAAATGCAAACACATGAAAAGTGTTTGCACCAGTAGAAATGTGACTGCTGCTACGATGATGAATGCTTCCATGATCAACATCAGAGCAAAAGGTAAACACTGGTCGCACTTTTGGCACTTTTATCTCACTGTACACGTGAAACTGTAGTTTTCCGGAATCTTCACTCTAGCCGGAGTTTTTAGAAAGATTAATTTTCAGAGGTGAATTCTCCGTTTGCGCGTAAAACATGGGTACAAACGAAGGGAAATGTCTCAGTTTTTAAAAATATCAGTGTATATGTAAATGGGGCCTAACACTGTACTTGTTTACAGTTTCTGTTTGTTAGTTAGGCCTATTCATCTGTCCTGAGTGAGGGGGCATATTAGAATAATCATTAAGGCCACTCAGTACAGATGAATAGGCCTAGTCAACAAACAGAAACTGTAAATAAGTAGGTGTGTTAGTTTCAGAGTAGTTTCAGTGTAGTTAGCTCCTCCCTACAGACAGATATAAGGAAGTGTCCACCAGCATCTGACCAGAACTGAAGAAGCAGCTTGGATGAGCTGAGAAACATTTTTGACCTAAATAAACATTTGTCCAGTTGAGAAAAAATGAATTTCTCCTTTGCCTATACCAGAAAAAATACACATTGCCCCTTTATAACATGATTAATGACCAATACAATTCCATACAATTCAAGCAACAGCTACTCCATTTTCTAGCTCAGTTCAAGTAACTGGTTAAATATAATGAAGTAAAAAGTATTAGCCATGTACTTTAAATCATGCTTATTGACTACATGTGTTTATAAAGTACTTTTGTATTGTATTATCAGTAATAATAAGAATTTCATATTTTTCTAAAGAGATATTTTTAAACCCAGTTGGTGAACAGTTGCACAGAGATCAAACACAAAGGACGGGTCAGTTTTAGAGTCAGAAAAGTTAATTGTTTCATACGAACTAACTAAACTGTGGCCTTTTAGAGGAGGAGAGTAGAATAAGTTTAAAGGTGCGAAACACATGCACAGTGCACATGTCACTGATGGTTCTAGTGTAACGGTCTGTCTGTGCTACAAACAGTCTAGAGGTTCAGTGTTACATTATACTTTTGCATTACTGTCTTTTTAAATGTGTAAATCTTCTCCTTGTAAGTTTTGATGTAAATTTTGTTAATTATGTTTCAGTAAAGGAAACTCAGGTGTAATGTTTCTTGTCCGTCTTAAAATACAAGCTGACAGTGAAATCACTTTAAAGGTGTCAATAAAGGATTTAACGTTACAAGAACTGTGTCTTTATTGCATGTTGGGCGATGTATTTTTCCTCATTCCACCTCCCACAATCCTGCATGTTTAGATTTTTCATGTGATCAGTGTGTGGATACAAAACATCTTTCTCCAGCTAAACTCAGACAAGACAGAAAACTAAAGAGACTGTGTCAGCAGTCACCTCCAGTCTCTCTCTCGAAAATCTTCAAATCATGCAAGAAATCTCAGTGTAATAATGGACTCAGCCGTGTGTAGAATCCCTCAGTTGTCCAGGTAGAATCCATGGCAAAGGAGATGTCAGCTGGACATGCTACAACCACAGTCCCTGAAAAAGGGGGATATAACTTAAGTAAATAAAAGAGCGGTCGTTCAGGTCTCAAGTCAGTGGTTTTAATGAGACCAAACCAGAGCTCCCCCTGCTGTTCACCGGACCTGATGTACTTCATAAAAAGTCTTTCAGTCATAACACCAGATAACAGTATAATATAATATAATCATGTAATACAAATAATAATCATGCACCAATAAAATGAAATTACTTAAAAAATATATATATCCTGTTATGAACTTTATATTTAACAGTAGCAATATTGTATCACAAATTTATATAATGTTTAAATTGTCTTGAATTACACCCATTACAGACATATGTTTATTTAGGTTGAAGATGTTTCACAGCTCATCCAAGCTGCTTCTTAAGTTCTGGTCAGCTAACTACCCTGAAGCTACTAACACCCTACTTGAAACTGTAAACAAGTAGGTGTGTTAGTTTCAGAGTAGTTTCAGTGTAGTTAGCTTCTCCCTGCAGACAGATATAAGGCAGTGTCCACCAGCGTCTGACCAGAACTGAAGAAGCAGCTTGGATGAGCTGAGAAATGCTGTCAGCCTAAATAAACTTTTATCCAGTTGACAAATTGATTTTCTCCTTGGTAATGGACTCAGACTTGATCTTTAACAGCCACATCAGATCAATAACATCTACAGCCTTTTACCATCTAAAAAACAGAGCAAAAACCTAAGGTTTATTGTCTAAAGCAGACTTGGAGAGACTTGCATTTGTCTCCAGTAGGTTAGATACTGTAATGGCCTCTCACTGTGAGACACTGCAGAACATCCAGAACGCTGCAGCTCTGGTCCTGACTCGAACCAGGAAGTACAAGCACACGCGTCCTGCGCTCAGGTCTCTGCACTGGCTCCTGTGGCTCAGAGACTTTAAAGTGGCTCTATTTGTGTACAAGTCTCTCCATGGCCTTTCACCAAAGTCCATCTGTGACATGTTAGTGTCATATGAACCATCTCACACTCTGAGGAGCTCAGGGACCAACCTCCTGCTGGTGCCCAGAGGGAGTCAGAGTTTCAGATTCACGCAGCTAAAACCTGGAACAGTCTGAACATGTGAGACAGACTGCACTCTGACTCTGTTTAAATCCAGGTTCAAAACAATTCTGTTTAGCTGCATATGACTGAAACATTTTCATTCTGCACTCTTCTCTCTCTTATTTATGTTTTGAGATTGTATGTGTTTGTATTGTGATTTTAATGTATCTTATTCTGTAAAGCACTTTGAATTACTTTGTGTACAAATTGTGCTCTACAAATAAACTTGCCTTGCCTTTCTTATATCTTGTGGCACCAATATTAATAAGCAGGCACAGTTAGTAATCCTGTAATAGAATGATCAGAGATTAGAAAACACCACTTACCTCATATTTTTCATTATTTTGTATAAGAGACATTTATTTTTTTTATATTTAATGTGCACAAGAAACAAATAAGATTTTAGACAGGAGATGCGCTGGGGCAGGTGAAGGCAGCTCGGGGGCCTAACTGTAAAATGTGCCCTGATGTGAATAGCATGGTTATAGATGTTTTTCTTGCGTTTCAGGTGGGAAATGACAATTAAGTGAATATTTCTTTCTGATAAATACAATTTTGTAATTTAGAAGAGTCGTCTTTTGTATAACCTAATAGTAAAATATACCCGGATGTGAATAGTGAGGTCTTTTTTGTTTTGTGTAAGGCAATAAATCTTCCTCTGATGACAAAAGACCAACACAGAACGACAGTGTCATTTAAACAATTTTATTAAAAAAAGAAAATTGACATATTCAAATTCAAAAAGAGAAAACCAAAGAAGAAAAAAGGAAAATCTCATCAATCAATAAAAAAAACACAAAAGTTACAGACAAATTTTAGCAAAGTCTGGCACAGGAAGACAAAAGAGCCTCGTGGCCTCTGCAAAAACATCAACCAAATATCAAAATCCTCTAGTCTTAACAAAAGTGTACAAAATGAGTTCTGTATAAATAAGAAACTGTTCACACGAGGAGAGAGCGGCGTCCACATTGGATCTGTCCCCAAACCTTTAAATGCACTTCGACTCTACATATGTACAGTGTAAGAAGGTAGTGAGACGTGAGCAGGGTCTGAGGAAACACCAGGAATTCTCAACTGTGGAGACTGTGTCAGAAAATACTGAACCAAGACTAAGCCAGGACTACAGCAGAACTAAAATAGAACGAAACCAGAACTATGCCAGGACTAGACCAGGATCACGCCAGGACTAAGCCAGGACTGAGCTAAATCTAAAACAGAACAAAACAAGAACTAAACCAGATCTAAACTAGGACTAAACCAGAACTGAACTAGGATTAAGCCAGGACTAAACCAGAACTAAATAAGGACTAAACTGGGACATAACAAGGACCTCACCAGGATTAGACCAGGACTAGATCAATACTAGACCAGGACTAAACCAGGACAATGCCAGGATAAAACCAAAACTAAACTAACCCATGACTAAATTAGGACTAAAACAAACCAGAACTAAACCAGGACTACGCCAGGACTAAGCCTGGACTAAGCCAGGACTAAACCAGGACTAGACCAGGGCAAAACCAGAACTAAACCAGGTCTAGACCAGGCCAAAATCAAGACTAAACCAAAAGTAAACCAGAACTAAATAAGGTGTAAAGTAGGACATAACAAGGACCTCACCAGGATTAGACCAGGACTAGACCAGGACTAAGCCAGGACTAAAATAGGACTAAACCAGGACTAAACCAGAACTAAACCAGGACTAAACCAGGACAATGCGAGGATAAAACCAAAACTAAACTAAGCCATGACTAAATCGGGACTAAAACAAAACAGAACTAAACCAGGACTAAACCAGAACTAAACCAGGACTACGCCAGGACTAAACCAGAACTAGACTAGGGCAAAACCAAAACTAAACCAGTAATAAACCAGAAGTAAATCAGGAATTAATCAAGACTAAACCAGCAGTAAACCAGAAGTACCCCAGAACTAAACCAGGACTAAACCAGGACTAAACCAGGACTAAACCAGGACTAAACCAGGACTAAACCAGGATTAAACAGGACTAAACCAGGACTAAACCAGGTCTGTTAGTGATTCTTAGAGATTTCTGAGTTCTCCAGAAAATCCACATTTCTTTACATTTCCAATTTTTGTCTTAAATATTGTTTTCAGTCACCACAAAAGCTTTAAAAATAAGTCCTATAAAAACGACACAGATGACTGAATGGAGGTATTGGTTGGTGGTTGGTGGAGCTTATCCCAACAACTGGACCTATCACGAGGTACTCAAGTTAGTCTCGGCGTTAACCAGCTAATAAAACAAAAAAAGTTGTATTTGTTAGTTAAAAAAAAACATCCAAACTTTGAGCAGTTGAGAATTCCTGGTTTGGACTGTCAGTAAAATCAAACAAAGGTGAAAAATTATAACTTAATTTTGGGGAAAGATCCAAACGACGCCCAATCCCCTTCACGGAAATCCTGTTTTAGCAGCAAAACTTTTGAAGCTATGAAATAAGCCATTACCCTCTAAAAAAAAAACTATCTCCAATTTATGTCAACTACAATAAGTGCAAGGAACCGTTTGAACTGTCCTATCATCATATAATTTAAAGTATAATTTCATTCAGGTTTCAAAAAAAAGTGAAAAAGAACAATAGAATAAAATAAATAAACACTGCATTGTAACCACTGGCCATTTCATAGTTTCAAAATCTGAGTTTGTGAATTCAAAGTGATGGCTATGGAATAACATTCTGTGAGCATGTATATAACAATAGCCATGATTTTTCCTTCATGGTGCATTGAGTCTGAACATAAAACCTGTTTGATATGAAAATCAATGAGTCGACATAAAAACACACAGAAGAAGTGAGAGAGGAAAGCTATTTACAAAGATGGCTCTGGTCGGAAGGTCGGTTTGGTAGAGGGTTTAGTCAAGAAGGTTGTTTTTCTCAATTGCTTTTAGATTAGGGTAAAAATATAGTTTTTTTTGATAGCGCTGAGAATATTTGTGATTTTTTGTCTTTTCTTTTTATCGACTGGAATCTGAACGACAAACTAATACAAGAATCGCATTTCAGAACATGTTTGTAGAGATCGAAACTACAGGGTTTGCAGTTTTTATGCAGAAATAGAGACACAGGGAGGGCATCTGACACACACAGCAAAAACTGGAGGGTTAAAATTAAAGAGTTGTTTTAACACACAAAAAAGTGCTATTTTAACTATTTGAAAGTTAAATGGGGGTTTGAGTTGGGATTTATTCATCTTCTCCCACTGGAAAAAAAAAAAACAATATCTAGGTAAGAATATTTTACTTTTATTTGAGTCGATTCAACATGACAAGTAAAATGATCTACCAAAGTTTTTCTTAATTCAAGCAACATTTGATTTTGTTTCTTATTTTATGTGCAAAAAGTTGTTGTTTTTCTTCTCTCAAGTGTAGTAAGATGTATTTTCATATTTTAAGTACAAAAAGTCTTGTTCCACTGGCAGATCATTTCACTTGTCAAGTCAAATTTACTCAAATCATGATAAAACTTTCTGAATTCAAGGCAACTTAACTTTTTGGCTAAATTTTGTTTTTTGCCATGCCTAGTGTTAATTCAACTTCCCCACGTGTTAATTCAAGTTTCACAAGTGTTAATTTGGCTCCTCCCACCACCACTTCAAACTCCCGTGAGAGAAGACCAGTTTGAACCAGTTTTGTACATCATTTAATCTTAAATTAACTCAAATAAAGTGTAAAAATAAAACACCTCTCTGTCTCTCAGGTCAGCTCTGTCTCCGTTTACTCTCAAAACGTTAATATAACTCTTGATTTCAGGGTTAAACTTAAACAGGTGTTAAAGTGTTATTTTAGCTGTTTGAAAGTTAAATAGGGGTTAGAGTTGAGGCTATTTGTTTATTCAGTTGATATGGTTGAAGTTAATTCAACTTTCCCTAGTGTTAATTCAACTTCCCTTAGTGTTAATTTGGAAACTCCCACCCACCACTTCAAACTCCCATGAGTGAAGGCCAGTTTGAACCAATTTTATACATAATTTCATCTTAAATTAACTCAAATAAAGTGTCAAAATAAAACAACTCTGTGTGTTGTTTAGCTAAATCAGGATAACCCTACAAAGTGTTATCCGTTTACTCTCAAACATTAATATAACTCTTGATTTCAGGGTTAAACAGGAAGTTAAAGTGTTATTTTAACGGTTTGAAAGTTAAATGGGGGTTTGAGTTGAGGGTATTTGTTTACTGAGGTGATATGGTTGAAGTTCATTCAACTTCCACTAGTGCTAATTCCATTTCCCTTAGTGTTAATTTGGAAACTCCCACCCACCACTCACTCTTTACTCTCAAAATGTTAATATAACTCTTGATTTCGGGGTTAAACAGACACTCTGGCCCCAGTGTTACTTAATGAACATTTCCAAAAATGTTTAATTAACTCTAGAACAGATTGGACTCATATAAACCCTGAGAAAATGTTAAAATCAATTCTGTGGGAGTCAATTTGAACACTCCACTTTTTGCTGTGGAGAAAGTACATCTGGGACACAGGGACATTTCAGAGCATGTTTGTAGAGATCTAAACTACAAGGTTAGCAGTTTTTAATTTTTTATTTTTTTTTGAAGAGTAACTCAGGAGGTTTTGTTTGTTGTTTGTGGAATAAATCCCGGTACTTCTAAAACTGCAGCCTTTGCGATTTGCCTTCCTTGCTTGTATTGCCTGATTTATTGAGTCACAGCAATTAACGGCGCTTTCACTTCTTGAGTTTTATTTAGCAAATGTACAGCGTCATATTTCTCTCTGGACATGTTGTTTATGAAATTGCTGAACGAAGCTGGCCAATGTGAGCTGTGAACGGGTAAGTCTGAGTTACGTCCGTAGCCTGTATATATAAATGGACATACAGTAGCTAATCGTTCTAAAGCATTTCAAACAGGAAGTGAGCAGGGGCGTGCTTCTGGCTCCATCGACGCTGGTTCCAGTTCACTTAACACTGAAAAACGTCGTCCTTTTGTCTGTATCTGCTGCTGTCAGGCTCATCATTTTGGTCTTGAAATGTTCGTATTAACCTATTCTACTTGATTCCGGTGTTGTTATTTTACTATTTTATCCGTAAATAAATTCCTTTTCCTAATTCGCCCCTGTAACTACTAGCCACTCCATTAGTCCTCTTCTTTATACAGTCTGTTTAGAGCTGAACAAATTGGAAAAAATATCGAATTGCAATCTTTCTAACGAGCATTGCCATGACCGTTCAATTTTCGATAGCATCATTTTGTTCAAAGTTCACATTTTTAACATGTCCAGGAGCATTTGAGAGAAGACTGAAAACTGAAACTAATACAAGAATCCAATGTATTTTTGGAGAGCTCTAAATTACAAGGTAAGTAGTTTTTTTTTACACAAGAAACAGAATCTCAGGAAATGATGTTGTCCTTGTACTGTATTTTTCGGACTATAAGGCGCACTTAAAATCCTTTCACTGCCTTATGTATTAATTCTGGTTGTGCTTATTGACCTCGAACCGATTTCATGTTATACACGGCGCTCAAAAATCTGTCAAAACATTTTAGTACAACTTTGCACCGCTCGATGGATTGTCGGAGCATTACGGCTGCTGTAGTCAGGAGCCTCACGGAATAAGTCGTGTCCTTTAGTCCAACAGAAGCTGACGGCAGGAGTGAGCTGTTTTTTTCAGCGTTTATAATTTATGCAAATTAGCCAAGTGATTTTAAGTTTCAACTCACAACGTGTGAGTTGTGTGGTCCTCTGTGTCTTTTATTTATTTTTATGTGTTTTTATTGATTTAATTTATTTATTGGTTTATTTCTATTCTATGATTTTGTTTTTATTTTATTTTACTGGTTTTATTATTTTAAGACTAGTATTATTTTAGTAGTTTATTTTATCATCTTATTATTGTTGTTATTATGTATTTTTGCAGCACTTTGGAAACTGTTTGTGAAATGTGCTATAGAAATAAAGTGGATTGGATTGAATTTCTGTAAAACGTAAACAAATGTGCGCAAAAGCTGCATTAAACACATTATTACCCAACGTATATTTGAGTCATCCTCGTAGGAAATTTAAAAACAAAACAAACTTAAATGATCAACCCACATTCACATTCATAACACATCGGACGAGTTACGCCACAATCTACCGATGGATCGTGGACGCCTGGGTTAAGAATCAGTCTCAAGTGTCGTCCGTTTGTTTCGCTTATGTATGAAAATAGATGAGAGAATTCAACATTACTGATATTGCGCTTTATAGTCCGAAAAATACGGTAATTTGCCAATTGCGACTATTCAAATTTCGATTTCGATTCCATTGTGGTATCTCTTACAGCCCCTAGATTTAGTTCAGTTTTTAAAAGCAATTGAGAAAAACATCACACAATATAACAGCTGTTTAGTTTAGTTTCACTTATCTTGACCACAAACTCTATGGATGGTACAACATCTTTGGTTGCAGAAATGAGACATTAAACAGGTATTGTCACGATACTAACATTTCAAGCTCAATTTCAATACTAAGGAACAGATTCGATACTCCGATACCACGGTGGGAGTATACTAGTCTATGTGCTCTTAAACTCGTTGACTCCTTTAGTATCGATACCTGCTTAAACGAGTCTCTGCTGTAGTTTCAATTAGTATCCAATTTTCGATACTTTTGACAACCCTATAGCGACGAAAATGACAAAGTTCAGAGCAGAAAAAAAAAACAAAAAAACGCAACACAAAACATTTTCAAAATTCTAAAACATCTAAAATGACATGCGCCCGTGTCCTTATGTACACCATCTCCACCTCCTCCCCCGCCTCCTCTTCCTCGCTTCAATGCGGCAGTTTCATCTGAAGAGCAAAGTTAAGGCGTAGCAACGAGAGTTTTTGCACAACTTTGAGTCTTGTACAAAACCAGACTGGGGCTCACTAAGGCTTGAATCATCTATAATGGCACTTCCATGGTCTAGTGAGCGGCCTGCTATCCTCTGACTATCTACATATCTACAGTCTGCGCTTTCACATAAATTAAACGTATTTGGATTACGGTATACGCGGACAAGCTAAAGTCAGTGTTTGGTTAAGCTCTTTTTCAAAAAACGCACGGTTTTCAGGTCCAATATTCAGCACCTGGTTTGGAACGGAAGATGTTTCAACAATAGAAAACGAACACGAAACAAAACAAAAATCAACAAAAGGCGCAAAAGTTTCTACAGCTAAAAACTAATCTACGTTCAAAAAGATAAAGTCATCAAAATTAAGGCAATTTAGCTCTAAAAGTTCAAGTGAAAGAAGACACAAAACATTTTCTACAAAAACAAGTCACTGATGGTGAATCAAACTTCATGGAGCCCGAAAGTCAAGGAGAAAGAAGGGCGTTTGATTACAGGACAATAGTTTTATGTCTTACTTAAAGCTGCACTGTGTAACTTTGCTCAGGGAGGGTCTGTCACTTGTTCGTTGCCATGGAGACGTTATTACTTGCATCGGAATGGGCTCTATTCACGTTTACGTCACAAAACTGGGCGACGTTCTGAAACACGAGGATGATGACTTCGCTCTGTTGGTGAGAGTAACTCTGACAAAATCTGGGAAAACTGAGAAAATGTCCCGTTTTTTTTTTTTTTTTTTTTTTTTATCTCAATGCCATTCCATTCTTTCTTTTTTCCTTTTATAACTTGCCTATTCATTTCTGTGTTATAATGTGTGTATTATACGCGTGAATAGAGCCTATTGTGAGCAGTACGGCATTGAACTTCTCTACCTCCATGTCATACCAGCTCACCAGTGCTTCGAAACATCTTCTGGTTTCTGGTGCTTTAATTCAAAGGTCACGTGTGGGTCAAATGCATTTTATGTATTTATTTTTTATTTTGGGTTACCACATGTTTGTGTAATCCCTCAGTCGTCCAGGCAGGAGAGCAAAAGAAAAATGTATTCTTTTCTGAACTGAACAAGGACTAAGCCAGGACTAAACCAGAATTAAATAAGTAACTGGGACATAACAAGGACCTCACCAGGATTAGACCAGGACTAGACTAAGACTAGACCAAGACTAAACTAGGACTAAACCCAGGACTAAACCAGGACAATGCCAGGATAAAACCAAAACCAAACCAACCGACTTAGACTAACGACTAAGTTAGAACTAAAACAAACCAGGACAAATTAAGACAGAACTAAACCAGGACTAGACCAGGACAAAACCATAACTATGGTTGGACTAAACCAGGTCAAAACTAGAACTAAACCAGGGCTAGACAGGACTAAATCAGGACTAAACCAGAACTAAATAAAGACTAAACTGGGATGTAACAAGGACCTCACCAGGCTTAGACCAGGACTAAACCAGGACTAAACAAGGACAAGGCCAGGATGAAACCAGGACTAAAACCAAAACTAAACCAACGACTCATGATTAAGTCAGGACTAAAACAAACCAGAACTAAATCAAGACTAAACCATAACCAAACTAGAACTAAGCCAGTACTAAGCCAGGACTAAACCAGGACTAAACTACATCAAAACCAGAATTAAACCAGGAATAAACAGGACTAAGACAGGACTAAACCAGAACTAAATAAGGTCTAAACTGGGACATTGCAGGGACCTCACCAGGATTAGACCAGGACTAGACTAAGATTAGACCAGTACTAAACCAGGACTAAAATAGGACTAAACTAGGAATAAAACCAAAACTAATCCAATGACTAATGACTAAATCAGGATTAAAACAAACCAGAACTAAATCAGGACTAAACCATAACTAAACTAGGATTTAGCCAGGACTAAATAAGGACTAAATTGGGACATAACAAGGACCTCACCAGGATTACACCAGGACTAGACCAGGACTAAGACAGAACTAAACCAGGAGTAAACCAGGACAATGCCAGGATAAAACCAGAACTAAAACCAAAGCTAAACCAACAACTAACGACTAACTCAGGATTAAAACAAACCAGGACTAAACCAGAACTAAACCAGGACTAGACAGGACTAAGCCAGGACCCAACCAGAAGTAAACCAGAAGTAAACCAGGACTAAACCAGGACTTTTTGGGATTCTAGGAGATTTCTAAGTCAGTGGAAAAATTCTCCAGACAAGAAGAAGAAGTTGAAGACTAAGAAGAAAAAGATGCTTGAATGAGCTGTAAAACATCTTCACTCAAAAAAAACTCCCTTTGTATATAATTATGTATTTGTATTTTTTTCTTTTGCTTTGGGTCACCACAGTAAACCAGATACATACTTTTTTTTTTTTTTTTTTTTCGAATTTTTGATGTCTTTCTGGTTGCATTTTCAGGTCAGGTTTTAACAGCAATTCAACGAAAGTCCATCTGTGTATCTGTTTGTTTGACTCTTCCACATGTAACTCTCGAACCGCTCATCCGACCGATCTCAAATTTGGAGAGTGTCTTTCTAATGGGACGGGCGTGTGTAGTGCCAATTTTCATGTTGTTAGGACCAAAAATGCCAAATCTGGGTGTTCTTAATCCACAGCAACACTACTGTCAACAATTTTACTCTTGTACTTAATCGCATTATTTTTATTGCTATTTATTTCTTTTTATTGCAGTTTTTTAAGTCACTTCATAGTTTTATATACATCCATTGGCGTTAACATTTGAGAGAAAGTTGAAATCGGTTTTGTACAGGCCAAACTCCAGAGTAGTAGTAGCGGTTTTCCCCAAAAATAAAGCTTTCTGTTATTTCAATATTTGATTATTTAATTCCGAATTGTATAACTCAATGGGTTTCGCTGATTAAACAGGTCACGGTCTGAAAACGTCCTCTTTGGCGTCGACTTTCGGGCTCCACTCAAACTCATTATGTGACAGCAGCATTGGTAAAGACTGACTCCTCCCCCTCCACACAAGATCATATTCTCTGTTAGATTTCCCTCATAAACAACTACTTAATTTAGTCACTGCATTGTTCTCTGTACAAGACGTGTTCGCTCATAAATCTGTAGCATATTTTTACTTCAGCCGCGAAGGGCCAAAGGATCGCTCCGCTGACAACCTCGACAAAACCGCTTAAAACCACTTCTCATTTCACGGAATATTTTACAAAAGTAACTTGAGTAAACGTTAAAGGGCCCATATTACGCTTGCATTTTCTGGTTTTTGATATTATATTTCGTCACAAACATATCTGGAGTTGTGTTTTGTTCCGTTCACACATGTTTAAAAGTGCACTGTGTAACTTTTGATAGAGTTTCAGTTATTAATCTGTCTAGAATGTTCCACAGTGTGACATTAAATAGCTCTACTTTACATTTATTCAATTACAGGTGGTTTTATAACTCAAAAATACCTAGAAAACAGGCATTCCGACTGTGAGCGGTGTTACCTCTCCACAGATCTGGTTTAAATGAAGCTAGAAAGGTTTAATGTCATACTGTGGAACATTCAAAACAAAGCGTCTCCATGGAAAAAAGCATTTGACGGACCCCCCACCAGAAAAGTTACAGAATTGAGAGTTTGTGGTCACTGTGTTTTTAAACTTCGTACAGCTTCACTAGAATCATTTGATTAATTTCAGCCACTAGAATTTCCGATGTTTACTAAACAAAAGGTAAACGGTAGCTATTGATCTAAAAACCATCACTTTATGACATCACAAGGTGGAATAGAGCATTTTGAGTGCTGGAGACTTAGACAGACTGCAGCCTGAAGTGACCCAATTCTGATTTTCTCGTCCCTATGCTCCTGTATCTGATCTTTTAATGACAGCCTGAAGGACACAGATCTGATTTTTTTTCAGATGTGACCCAGTCCACTTGGATATGTGCTCCTAAAACCGATACATATCTGATCTTTTGACATGTGACTTCAGTCTGAACGGTCAGGTCACATTCATCCCACCTACAGGCTCGGAGTCTCGTCAATGGAGGGAAAGCGAGGTCAGCGAGTTAATTCATATTTGAGGGGATCAATGTATTCAAGCCAAATTGGAGGCGTCTTATCGGAACTGCGCGGTTTTTGAAATGAAAGAAATGTCCGAGCGCGGCTACAGTTGGTCCTGGCTCCATTGTCAACAAAAATAAAGAGCCCGTGAGACAAATACAAGGAGGATAACGACTCAAACAAACGAAGCGGCTGTGAACGTGTAACCTGTACATTTTACCAAGAACTGGACTGGATTTTTAGCCTGATTCATCAGCCGGTTTCACTTCGTAGAAACCGTCTGACCTCACAGCTTTAGAATTCATTCGCTCGATGGTAGGCGGGTACTTTTTTAAATTTAACCAATCGCTGCTGTTTGGTCGTGATGTATGTGATGCGCCGCTAAGGGGGCTAACTGGTATATTGAGCTTTTCCCAAATCCCGTAGGACGAAGGACAATAACGTCTTTCCCCTTGATAAAATTTCACCGAACATTCTCTTTGTTCCGGCTTTAAATCCTCGATCTTGGGAATCGTTGACAACACAGAATATATGACTCTTCGCTGATTGGCTGGTGGTGCAAACCGTCTAGTGTATTCCAATTCCTGGCACTTGGTGGCGCCAACCTGGCCATATTTTGGGAGACGAGCCCAATGTGCATGTGGGAAACTTTTGGGGCATTTAAAATTCACACTGGAGATCACATACAAGTCGCATTTAATTGGAAATGTGAACGACCTCACAAAAAAATCAGATTTCACAAAAAAAAAATCTGAATTGAGCATTAAGCCCTGCAGTCTGAACGTTGCCTAAGTGTGAATGAAGCAAAACACAACTCCAGATTTGTTTTTGAGGAGGTAACAACATTCTCTAATGGTTAAATGCTCGTAAGAGTTAATTTTGCGTAATATAGGACCTTTAATATCGGTATTGTTTTCTTCAACTCTACGTAAAAATTATATTTTTTAAAAGCCCTTATAAATTTCACCCTTGGAGCTTTTTCAGTGCGTCATGAAGTTTGTCTATATTACATTGCAAAATAAACTATTAAATAACTTTCTTTCTAAAAACTTTGATCTCTAAAAAAATCTAAAAATAGAAATTCAAATATAAATAGAAAGAATTGATTGTCTTGTGTTGGCCTAAACTACTATAGTATTTCCTGTGCGTGAGCAGTAAAAGTATTTTTGCAGCAGTTAAGGAAGAAGTAGCTTTAAACGGTTTTCAAACACAAGTTCATATGTTTCAGATCTGTACAAATTGTTGCTGTGCTGCTGCAAAATACAATGTCAAACAACAGACAACTGAAAAAAACCAAACCAAAAAAAAAAAAACACGTAAAGTTTGCATATTTTACAAAACGAAAACAACAAAAAGTCACTCCGAAGCGTCCAGAATGGTCTTGAAAAATAGGATTTCATTAGAATTTGCACAAAAATAATGCTGCACCAACTCTCATCGCAATGTGTTTATCAAAATAGTGTCTGTGGAGAAGAGTCCCACCTTTGGTTCATGTTGGAAAGTCCCATAGACGAAGTATTGTCCTTTCGATTTCAAAAAAAAAAAAAAAAAAAAAAAAAAAAAGCACAGAGGTTTTTCACACGCAGACAAAACTGATCACGCACGCACACGCACGCACATGTTCCTTTTGTGATCCGGGTTCGGTCCAGGCGCAGGGGACGAGCACGCCGCGTCCTCGATCCTGATTGGTCAGATTCAACAGGTGCCCTCCTCCTCACCCAGAGCTGGAATGACAACACAGTGTGAGAGTGTGATATGCATTTTAGTTGACATACCGCTACTACTCCATGCTACATACACTGCACCATCTGCTTTTTCCCATGCCGTTGTTATTGCTTCGCCTTAAATGTTCCACAGTATGGCATTAGACTTATGCATCTTGCTCTTATACAATTGGGCCCGGTTAAGCAGAAGTAAACAACAAGGCCAAAAATTCAAGTTAATGCATCTGATATAAAGATGTATTCAACAGATACATATGTACTCTAGTTTATGAAACTGTTTACCTTTTTTCTGTACCATTTTTGGTTCTAAAGTTACATACGTTTTAAACAAACCATGTATGAAACATGGAACAAAAAATATTTCCCAGACCTGCAAATCATGTAAATAAATGGATGTATTTCATCATATCTTGTGTTATTCCATCTTTGAACTGTTGATGAAGGTACATGATTTTTCAAAATAAATGTATTTAAAATGATAAAAATTAGCTTGGAAGGACTGACATATTTTATAGAAATAATTTCCTTTCATTTTGAAGTAATATTAAAGTATTCGGAAGAAAAAAGCTGACAAATTATACAAAATCATGCACCTTCTACTTGTTGCACAATTTTCCCTCCTTTACTTTTCCCTCCGTTACCATGACCTTTCTTAATAAAAATCTCATTAGTCAAAAAGTAAGAGGTTTTTCAACCTAATCTTGTACCATATGGTAGAAAACTATATGAAGCAAATATTCAAACCAGTTTGTTAAGGATATGTAAGTGAGAACCACTAGTTATCACTGTTTGTATTTATTGCCCAAAAAGTGCTGCATATTTCATTCCCTCCGTTACCGACATGAGTTTTTACATTTTCTGTCAACAACTTGAAAGAATATCACAGGTTTAACTTTACCCTGTTGGAGTGTTAACTCTTTCCTACATTCTGATACTTTACTTATTTCAATAGTTCCTCTAGTTTCTGAATAAGAGCTGTTTGAATGTAAAAAATCTGCCCCTGTTTCCCTCCGTTACCACTTGACCGGACCCAATTACGGGTGTGTTTATGCTCAAGAATACATTGAAAAACAGGCATTCTTACTGTAAAGGTCAAGTTAGCTCTTATAAACATTAACATACAGTCCATGGCATTTAATACATGCATCACGAATTTTGGACTTCCGGTCATCACACAATGCATACTGGGAAGGATTTTCCGAAAAAGTGAGCATCAAACCACCATGTTTGTTTTCCCCCGTGGGATGTGTCTATTGTCAAAGTCGATCTTTTCTAGTCTTTTGAACCATATCGCTTTTGTTTCTGGTTCTGATATTGTCATATTTTGGTTTTGGGATTCGGACATTGTAATTGTGTGGTTGTTGGATCCTAACAGCGGAAAACGGCTCAAGAAATGGGCTTCGGAAGTTTGCAAACTCCATAAAGGCAAAATGGAATCAGATGTGTATGACTGCATGATTTATACACAGGAAAGACGAAAAAGGAAACCTTTGACTGCCTAAGAAATCATCCTGAGACCTCTAACTTTGTCTGGTAGTGTTATCTGCTTGTCTCCATGGATATAGACAAGTTTCACTAGCTAGGACCACGCCAACAACGACATAGTGCGAAGAAGTTTATTGATAATGAACGGGACCCCCCCTTGAAGGAATCTTATGACTGAAAGACAAAATAGGGGATGGGAGGGTGGGGTCGAGTTAGCCGAGACAAACTGGGATGATGCCATACTGTGGAACTTTCACACAACTTCAGTTACACAGTGCACCTTTAAGTATCTGCTGATATCAACTGATACCAGACTGAAAACAGTATTCATTTCCTTTAAACAACAATAAAATAAGACAGAAGGTGTAGGTTTTTGAGGGCCAATTATTACCTTATTTTTCGGACTATAAGTGGCACTTTTTTTCATGGTTTGGGTGTTTCCTTATGACTGTGACTTATACTCCAGTGTGACTTATAAAATTTTCACACTGACAGCTGTGAGAGGCTCTAGGCTTTTGTGTCACATCTGTTCCTCCTGTACCACTGTCACTTCACTCTACTGCACATGTCTCCTGCAGAAAAAGCCGCTGTCCTGCTACAAGTAGTAAAATCTGCAGCCGAAAACAGTAATTGAGCAGCAGAAAGAAAGTTTGGAGTGAGCGAGAAACTTGTGAGGGACCGGTGGAAAGCGGACCTCATGGATCTATGGTTTACTGCCGGAGGTCGTGAAATTGCTCAGAAATGACACAGAGGATGGAGAATTGAATGGATTTAGTGATTTGGAGTGAGATGGAGATGCCTATTCAGCCTGTTGTTCTCTGTTCTATAGTTATTACTAGAACTTGCCTTTCAAGATGAAATGTCAGTTCCTGGTCTCTGATTTTAACAAAATAAATTCCCCCCCAAAAAGTGCAACTTATAGTCCGGTGTGACTTATATATGTTTCTTTCTTCTTCATTACACATTTTTTGGCTGGTGCGACTTATACTCCAGAGTGACTTATAGTCCGAAAAATACGGTAACTCTCATACAGGCACACAGAGCTGAAACAACATCACAAAGTCAGATTTCAATTTAAAGTTTTCAGCAAAGTATAAGAAATCCTCTATTTTATTTTTAGACCAGTTTCATAAGTCCTGACCAAGCAGAGAAGCTTTTTTGTGAATAATTCTGATATTATTATTACTATTATTTTGTATTTATAGAAATTTGTAGATAGTATTTAATTGTGAAGAAAGTGATAAATATTGAGCTGACAATGTGTGTATACAAAAAGGTTGTAAAAGCTAGTTATAATAGTCAAAGTTCCTATATTATGCAAAATTGACTCTTATGAGCTTGACATCTCCAAAACTCAAAATGCTCTGTTCCACTTTGTGATATCATGAAGCTAA